AGTCTGAACTTCTTTGTGTTCTTGTCCTTTGAGAAACTTCAGTAATTATTAGTAGATGTAATTTAGGCATAACTTTCTTAAAGAAAATATGCATAATTAATATGATATTTATGAAATAGATTATTTTAGTTGTATTAATGGTTTAAAATAGATTAAGATTATTTCTTTAAATAGCAAAATTGATGGGTTAAGAAGTTATTTAACTTGCTAATTTTAAATTTGCATGCACCTGTTTAGAACTACATCTATTGTGCAAAAAGAGAAACTTCTTTGATAATTTTACCTATGTAAAATTAAGTGAAAAGTCATGCTTAATGGTACAACATTCAGTCTCAGCTATGTGAGTCAAGCCTCACTCTGGAATTTTTACCTTTGGAAAAATATTCTCTAAACATCGCGTGCTCTGTGTTTACAGAAACCATGTCACTGTGACTCAACATCTACTTGCTTATGAGGCGTTTCCCAGAACAAGAAGGAATGAATCATTATTTGCTGCAATTCATGAGACTTACACTAAAATGCACTGTATTTGATTGGGCTAATGAAACTAACTTTTCCAGGGGAAAGATACCCATAATTCTGATAATTAGCTATAGACAAATTATTTTAGGTTGGGAAAGTAAGTGACTGATGAAATTTCAACATTATGAACTCTTACACCTGCTTATTCAAATGACAACCTTTCAGTTTTGTGTTACAAAAAGGAGAAATCCAGTATTTAACATAATGATAATATCGGAAAAGAAAGTCAGTTTTCTCCCTAGTGATATTTATCCCTAAAGAGAATAATAGAGAGTCATGCGGTCATCCTTGTGTGTTTAAATATTTAGAATGCTGACATGTCAAAGAGTTCCATGGGCTTTTTTTCATGAGTGACTAGTGAGAAATATTAAATAACTCAAATTATTTAGTCAAGAAAAGAAAAATTAAACAAAGGACACGATAAGCTTATTAAAGGTCTTAATGAATGTGAATATTAGTAGTATTTCTCTGTTTTTTTTTTTTTAGAAGAAAATAAAACAAAAAGATCTAAACCAGTAGGCCATTAAAGTGTCCTTTTTATTCAAAGGTTAGTTTAACCTCAGTTGCAGAAGGGCTGTGAGATCACAGAGAGACATGGAATGGCCTCTAATCACACAATCCATAATAGCAATGTTCATTTACTGAGCACTTACTTGGTTCCAAGAACTGTACCTGGTGTACTATACACATTATTGCATTCAATTTATGCAGTTGGCATTACTATTTGCATTGCAAATATGTGAAAAAAGGAAGGCTTATGATCTCATAATTGGTCATTAGATTGGCCGTAATTAAAACAGCTATGTCCTTTAAGCTGTGCTAACGGAATGGACTCTAAGGGCTTAGATGCACCATATTATAATAAGATTTTAGTGACTAGCAAATCCATTTATTTGACAGAGTGAGCTGGTTGCTAAACCTTTTTTATCGTATTTTCTGCTGAAATCTGCCTCTCTTTAACTTCCTTTCATTGTTTTCGTGCACTCTATGCTATGTTCACATGTATGACCCATCTCCTATAAATTAAACCTTTCAAATATTTGAAGCCAGCTATCACCATGCCACATTCCCTTCTTATATCAAGGATAAATATCTTTAATATGGATGGACTTGGTAAAACAATTTCATGTCTGTACTTATCTCAGGATTTCTCATGTGGATCCACTAAGGCAGAAAGGAAGCTATTATGTTACATTTGACAGATGAGGAAACTGAGCCAGCACAGTGAAGTGCTTTTTATTTTTTATTTTAATTTTTAACATTTCCACTACTTAATGCTATATTTGTTTTCTATAGAAGATAATCTGGAGGGTACAAACTATTTACTGTCACCTGGTATTTCTGTTTCCAACCACATCTCGTATCAGCAAACGTGTACAAATTATGGCTTGGATTATAGAAAAGGTCCCCTCCATTTGCAGAGTCTGCTAAATTTCAAGCGCTTCATTTATCTTCCTGGGAGCACTTCATAAGAGAATGTGCTGCTTCTTTTCATCCTCCTCTTCCTCTTCCATCTTTTCTTTCCTTCAGTCTTGTACTGTAATCTGGAGTTTGGCATAGTAAATTAGGTTAGCTTTCAGGAAGATAAACACTATGTCACATGAGAGTTTTAAAATATTTTCTGTTGCTTCTTGACCTACAGCTGTTGTGTTATGCGTAATGGGCAAATAAAGTATCACTTTGGTATTTCAGAAATCACTAAAATATAGTAAGTTTGAGGAAATGTCTATTGAATTAGATTTGGCAACACACCAGTGCAACAAAGACTCAGCTGCCTGGCCAAGGACAACTCTATCTATGTTGTGGCTAATATTGGGGACATGAAGCCATGCAATGCCAGTGACCCTCAGTGTCCCCCTGATGGCCGTTACCAATACAACACTGATGTGGTGTTTGATTCTCAGGGAAAACTGGTGGCACGCTACCATAAGGTGAGAATCACTTGTGCCTTAGCTCAACTTGTTACTTCTTTTGTGTGCTTGTGGTATGTATGTGTGTCTGCTTGTTGAATGCTGGGAAGAGAACTGTTGTAGATGCATCTTATAATTATTACATCATAGTTGAAAAGGAGATTTAATTCAGTTCCATATAAGGTTCTGGGTTTCCATTTATCATTAAACAGAATATGGTAGAGTATTTAAATGGATGTGACAATAACCACACAAAGCTTTTAATGTTCTCTGAAAAAGAAGTAAAAATTCTGTTTCATTCATGATTTAATATCAGGTTCATTTTTTAGCCCAATTTGTTAGCATTTCATACTAAGCTACCATATATTCCATTAGGACTTTTTTGATTGCAATGAAAACAAAACCTCAACTGAAAATGGCTTTAACAATACGGACAATTTCTTGCTTATGCACATGTAAAAATTGTAGCATAGAAAGGATAGATCTCATTTCAGTGCAGTCTGACACTCAGAGGCTCCAAAATTATCATCCATCCCTCTAGCTCTCCTAGCCCTTTGTTACAGCTTCTTTCTTGGGGCAACTCTCCTTTTAGAAGCCACATTGCTGGAGCAACACGCAGTTCACATCTTTATCAACAAAATCTACAGGAAGGGTATATTTCTCCCTCCTAGAACCCTGCAAAGGCCTTATCACTCCTTGATTCAATTAGTTGACATGCCTTTCCTGAGCCAACCACCAAAGGATGAAGGATAGACTGCCACATGGGAGAAGAATGGAGGAGCAAGAGGCCTCCAGGGACCACAGAGATGGGAAGTAGCTCTCCCCAGAGCACACGCATGCACACAACAGGCCAAACAAAAACCTGAGCAAAACATACGCTGTACTCCTGAGCACAGGTTAAGTGGAGTTTTGGAAAAAGAACCAGGCTGAAAAATAAAATAAAGTTACTAATGGCCTACTAATTAATAATATGTAATAATTGCATTGTCTAAATTAATTTTCAATGGATTTCACTTCACTTCTATAAACCTGGCAGTATCATTGGGACACATGACAAAGTTTATTTTATTAACATGCTAGTGCTGCTGAAATTTAAAGAATACAGTGGAAAACAATCTGAGAAGTGTAGGAGTCAAGATTTCAACCTGTGATTTTAAGATAGAAATTTTCACATTTTAAATATCGTTTGTACATGTACATTAGTTGTAAAAAAGATAAAGTTTTTTGATTAATGTCACAGTAAGAAAATTTATAGATGGTGGTATAGTGGGCATGATTTTTACAAATGTATGGGTAACAGTTTTATTTTGTTGTTGTTGTTGTTGCTGGAAATGGAATCTCGCTCTGTTGCACAGGCTGGAGTGCAGTGGCGTGATCTCGGCTCACTGCAACCTCTGCCTCCTGGATTCAGGGGCTCCTCCTGCCTCAGCCTCCGAGTAACTGGGATTACAGGCGCATGCCATTATGCCTGGCTAAATTTTTTTGATATTTGTAGTCTAGACAGGGTTTCACCACATTGGCCAGGCTGGTCTCGAACTCCTGACCTCAAGTGATCCACCCACCTCAGCCTCCTAAAGTGCTGGGATTATAGGCATAAGCCACCACACCTGGCCTATGTGTAACAGTTTTAAACCTGCAAGTCAACATACATGGGAGGAAAGATTTAATGGGGAAAGACTTAATTGATCACATCTATTTGGCAGTTTTCTTATTAATTTTCTTCTTCTTTGCTTTTTTATTAACAGTACAACCTTTTTGCACCTGAAATTCAATTCGATATCCCCAAGGATTCAGAACTTGTGACTTTTGACACACCCTTTGGGAAGTCTGGCATTTTTACTTGCTTTGACATTTTTTCTCATGACCCAGCTGTGGTGGTGGTGGATGAGTTTCAAGTTGACAGCATTCTCTACCCCACAGCATGGTACAACATGCTGCCCCTCCTCTCGACTGTTCCCTTCCATTCAGCATGTGCCAAGGCCATGGGAGTCAATCTACTTGCTGCAAATACCCACAACACCAGCATGCACATGACAGGTAACTCATGCGGGCATGTGCCAAGTGGGAGTGACAGTCTTAAAAAGGCTTCATTGATTTTCAAGCCACACACTTTTGTTTAATAACTTTATTACCAATTTTAAGATCACAAAATTAATAACAGCATTTGTTTCTACTTAAGGAAACTTCATTGTCCTTGTGAATAAAGGAGGCAAACATTATTATCTCAATTTTACTTGAAAGGAAATTGGGGCTGGAGGAAGTCACATAAAAAAATCAAAGCCAGTTCTAAGAAATTTCCTAGCCAATGTGCATTAGTAATATCGAAATAAATCTTGTTGTTTAAAGTAAACAGATAACCTACAGAGCAGAAGAAAATATTTGCAAACTATGCATTCCATAGAGATCTAATATCCAGAATCCATAAGGAACTTAAATCAACAAACAAAAAACAAACTATCCCATTAAAAAATGGACAAAGGACGTGAACAGGCACTTCTCAAAAGAAGACATACACGTGGCCAGCAAGCATGTAAAAATGCTCAACATCACTAATCATTAGAGAAATGCAAATAAAAACCACAATGAGATACCACCTCACTCCAGTCAGAATGGCTATGATTAAAAAAATAAAAGACAAACAGATGCTGGCAAGGTTGTGAAGAAAAGGGAACGCTTGTACACTGCTGGTGAAAATGTAAATTAGTTCAGCCACAGTGTAAAGCAGTTTGGAGATTTCTCAGAGAACTTAAAACAGAACTGCCATTCGACCCAGCAATCCCATTAATAGGTATATACCTAAAGGAATATAAAACATTCTACCATAAAGACATATGCACTTGTATGTTAATTGCAGCACTTTTTGCAATAGCAATAACATGGAATCAACCTAGGTGCTCATCAACAGTGAAGTGGATAAGGAAAATGTGATACATATACACCATGGAATACTACATAGCCATGAAAAAGAATGAAATAATGTTCTATGCAACAAGATGGATGCAACTGGAGGTCATTATCCTCAGCGAGTTAACACAGGAACAGAAAATCAAATACCACATGTTCTCACTTAAGAGTTGAAGTTAAACATTGAGTACACATGAACACAAAGAGGGAAACAATAGACACCAGGGCTTAGTTGAGGGTGGAGGGTAGGAGGAGGGTGATGATTGAAAAACTACCTATTGGATATTATGCTCACTACCTGGGTGACAACATCATTTACACACCAAACCCCAGCAACATGCAATTTACCCATGTAACAAACCTTCACATATTTCCCTTCTATACTAAAATGAAAATTGCAAGAAAAAAATACAAATAAATACAAATATTTCAGGCATTAAAAAAAAAACTTGTCGAAGTGATAAAAATCACTTTTAACTTAATCAGGTTTTTAGAGCTTCTCCTTTATAATATCCATGTTCAAAGTAATGCAGGCTTCCTTCTTAACTGCTTTGTTATTTGTTGAATAACAAATCCCAAACACAAATAAACTAAATCGTCAGTGGAGAGCTAAAATTATTCTTCACATTGGGGGATTTTCTAGTTTGTTGCTAAGTTGGCTTAAAACTATGCCCTCCATGTCAAATGATAATTTCAGTGCAAGTAGTACCTTATGGAGGACACACAGTCAAATTGGAACTTAGGCCAATCTAACAACTAACTCCTTATCTATCTTAAAAATATGCTTTAATAACTTTGTATTTAATTCCACATGGGAATATTCTATTAGTTGGTCACCATAACAAATCTGAAACCAATGTTTGTGTTTCTGTATGTTGCTTGTAGGGAGTGGAATCTACACCCCAGAAGCAGTCAAGGTGTACCACTATGACATGGAAACAGAGAGTGGTCAGCTGTTGCTATCAGACCCGAAGTCTCAGCCTCGCCGTGAGCCCACCTACCCTGAAGCTGTTGACTGGCATGCATATTCCAGCAGTGTCAAACCGTTTTCCTCTGAGCAGTCAGATTTTCCGGGGATGATTTATTTTGATGAGTTTACCTTCACTGAGCTTAAGAGAAATCCAGGAAATTACAGTTTGCCAGAAAGATCTGTGTTGTCACTTACCTTACAAGATGTCTAAAAAGCGAGCAGATGAGGTCTATGCCCTAGGTGCTTTTGATGGACTGCACACAGTACAAGGCCAATATTACTTACAGCTAGAAATGCTTAAATATGTTAGAGTGGTCTCATTATTAGTTTTTATTCTAAGTCATCATTGCCTTTCTTTGAAAATTGGGCTAGATTTAGCTAATTTTATAATTAGTAATGTTTTCACTGAATTTTGTCCCCAGAACACATTATTTGTTCAGTCTTAGCAAGAACAGAATTAGTTCTTTTAGTTGCAAGGCAAAAACATAAAGCAAATTGATTAGTTATCAGCAGGCCAGGTTCAGGTTTCAAAAGCTGCAACTTCTGTGTGTTCTCTTTTTCCATCAGTTTACTTTAGAGCAGTGTTTTTCAAATTGTCTTCAACTAAATCCAGAGAAAGAAGGATAATTTATATCATAACCCAGTGTAGCCAAGTAGATGTGTGACTGAATTAAAAAAAAGATATTTAATTGAAGTAGCTTATGAAATAATTTAAAATAGGGTTATAAATAGCTATTATTATGTGCAATGGACTCTGATTTTTAAAATTCTAGTCTATTCTATTTGACTTCAGTATAAAAAGTGCTAATCCTGACCCACTAAATTGATTTTAGGATTCACTAATAAGTTGTTACCTGCAGTTGGAAAAATACTTCTTAAGAGGCAATTTAAATATTCCTTTATAGTTTGAAATTGCATTATTTAGCTGAGAAACTATTTGCAAGGTGTCTGACTCCTTCTCTTTTCTTTTCTTCCATAGATATGCACATTACTGAAGTGTCAAATCACTGACCTGGAAATGTGCGGAGAAGCTGTGGGGTCAGCTTTTACCAAGTTTGAGGACTTCTCTCTCAGTGGCACATTCGGAATGCATTATGTTTTCCCACAAATCATTCTAAGTGGGAGTCAGCTTGCCCCTGAAAGACATTATGAGGTAGGAGGTGTGCAGGATGATGAATTCCTTAGAGCAGGGTAGATGGGTAGAGCAACATAAAGAAAATCTTTGCAATAATGAGAGTATAGCAATACCGTGGTTCACATTCTACAAGAAACACTTTAAAGACGTGGGAACTATGATATGGAATACAAGTTGTGGTTTTAGATTGCCATTAGGCTGTGATGGAGAGTCTGGGGTTCATTTTTCTTTAACAAAAATGTGATGTTGATATTCAAGGCAACAGTAAATTCACAGAGAAGCTAAAACAAAAATATTGATTGCTGATAATGGCAATAATGTTGTCATTTGCATGGTGTAGAAGGTGCAAATTAAATACATTAGATAATGCATCTACAACTTCTTTTCTGGGTATGCTATTTTGAGAAGTTGTTATAATTATACTAATAACTAATATTTTGTATAGTGTTTCATGAGTTTGAAGAACATATTTTTATACATGATCTTATTTGACCACCTGTGCAACAAATTTGTTTGCTGTACTTTCAAGCAAAGCCCCTCTACTTTCAGACTTGAAACATGAACCTGGGTCTTCCAACACAAATCCTGTGTGATTTTTACCATTCTACACTGCTTTAGGAGTGATCTTGCCAGAGAAGGGATCTAGGCTGTAACCTAAACTCTGCACTGAAGTTAATCCTTTGTTTTCTTTGACCAGATTTCAAGAGATGGACGCTTGAGGAGCCGAAGTGGAGCCCCTTTGCCTGTCTTAGTTATGGCCTTGTATGGAAGAGTGTTAGAGAAGGACCCTCCATGCTTAGGGCAGGGACCTGGGAAGTTCCAGTGATCTCCTTTAGCAGAGCCTTTTTAGGATCAGCCTGGCTAAGGGAGGAAGAAAAAAGAGATCCGTTAGTGTCTGTTTAGAAGAGATGTCATAAACTTACGGAAACAAATAGAATAAACTTAAGCAGATTTGAAAAGCAACAAGTGTGTGTGCAAATTTCACATTTTACGTATTTGGTATAGCACATGTTCATTTGTGGGAGCTGCATTCATCCTCCATGTATGTGAGTTTAAGTATATGTAAGTATGTATATGTATAGTGGAGCATATATTTAAATGGGAAGAGGGCCTAGAAAAATCCTTTTGCAGTAACTGTACTAAGGTATGCAAGTGTTGTTTTCATCATAAGATGGTTAATTTTATGTGTTGATTTGACTGGGTTGTGAGATGCCCAGATAGCTGGTTAACCATTGTTTCTGGGTATGTCTGTGAGGGTGTTTCAAGGAAGAGAACAGCATTTGAATTGGTAAACTGAGTAAAGCAGACAGTCCTCCCCAATGTGGATAGGCGTCATCCAGTCCCTTGAGGGCCTGCAGAGAAAAACAAGAAGGAAGAGGTTTGAATTCCTTTTCTGCCAGACTACCTGAGCTGGATAGAGATCTTCTCCTGCCTTCATGTGCTCCTGGTTCTCAGGCCTTCAGGCCTGGATTGGAATTGACACCATCAACTCTCCAGCTCTCAGGCCTTTGAACGACAGCCCTGGCTTTCCTGCATCTCCAGCTTGCAAATGGCAGACCAGACGGCGGGATTTCTCAGCCTTCATAACTGTCTGAGCCAATACCTTATCATAAATCTCTTTCTCTCTCTCTCCTGTTGGTTCTGTTTCTCTGGAGAACCCTGACTAATACACTTCATTTGTAAATAACAGGATGAACTTTGAATACGCAGAGGGTATTTGATTCTAGCCAATTAAGATACAGGAAGTTAAAGAATAAGGACATCTTTTAAAGTAACTATGAACAACTTTTTAGCTAGTATTGTCCCTTTAGTCATGACTTATTTGACTCTTGCATTCTATTTACATGGAAAATGGATACTTAAAATGGATTTTTTTTTTTTTTTTTTGAGACGGAGTCTCACTCTATTGCCCAGGTTGGAGTGCATGCAGTGGCACGATCTCGGCTCACTGCAACCTCCACCTCCCTGTGTAGGGAAAAGAAAGAGAGATCAGACTGTTACTGTGTCTGTGTAGAAAAGGAAGACATAAGAAACTCCATTTGATCTGTCCCCTGAACAATTGTTTTGCCTTGAGATGCTGTTAATCTGTAACTTTAGCCCCAACCTTGTGCTCACAGAAACATGTATTGTATGGAATCAAGAGATTTAAAGGATCTAGGGCTGTGCAGGATGTGCCTTGTTAATAATATCTTTACAGGCAGTGTGCAGGGCAAAAGTCATCGCCATTCTCCATTCTCGATTAACCAGGGGCACAATGCACTGTGGAAAGCCGCAGGGACCTCCGCCCAGGAAAGCCGAGTATTGTCCAAGGTTTCTCCCCACTGAGATAGCCTGAGATATGGCCTCATGGGATGGAAAAGACCCGACTGTCCCCCAGCCAGACACCCGTGAAGGGTATGTGCTGAGGAGGATTAGTAGAAGAGGAAGGCCTCTTGTAGTTGAGATAAGAGGAAGGCCTCTGTCTCCTGCATGCCCCTGGGGATGGAATGTCTCGGTATAAAACCTGATTGTACATTTGTTCTATTCTGAGATAGGACAAAACCGCCCTGTGGCTGGAGGTGAGACATGCTGGTGGCAACGCTGCTCTGTTACTCTTTATTACACTCTGGCCTACGTGCACATCCAGGCATAGTACCTTCCCTTGAACTGATTTGTGACACAGTTTCCTTTGCTCACATGTTTTCTTGCTGACCTTCTCCCCACTATCACCCTTTTCTCCTGCCGCATTCCCCTTGCTGAGATAGTGAAAATAGTAATCAATAAATACTGGAGGAACTCAGAGATCAGTACCGGTGCAGGTCCTCCGTATGCTGAGCGCCGGTTCCCTGGGCCCAGTGTTCTTTCTCTATACTTTATCTCTGTGTCTTATTTCTTTTCTCAGTCTCTTGTCCCACCTGACAGGAAATACCCACAGGTGTGGAAGGGCTGGCCCTCTTCATCCCTGGTTCAAGTGATTCTCCTGCCTCAGCCTCCCAAGTAGCTGGGACTTCAGGCACGCGCCCCCACACCCGGCTAATTTTTTACATTTTTGGTATAGATGGGGTTTCATCATGTTGGCCAGGCTGGTCTTGAACTCCTGACCTCAAGTGATTTGCTCTCCTTGGCCTCCCAAAGTGCCAAGATTACAGGTGTGAGCCACAGGGCCAGCTAAAATGGAAATTAAAAAAAAAAAATAAACTATGTCGGCCGGGTATGGTGGCTCACACCTGTAATCCCAGCACTTCGGGAAGCTGAGGTGGACAGATCACCTGAGGTAAGGAGTTTGAGACCAGCCTGGCTGACATGGAAAAACCCCGTCTCTACTAAAAATACAAAAATTAGCTCATCGTGGTGGTGCGTGCCTGTAATCCCAGCTACTCGGGAGGCTGAGACAGGAGAATCACTTGAATCTGGGAGGTGGAGGTTGCAGTGAGCTGAGACCACATCATTGCAGTCCAGCCTGGGGCAAGAAAAGCAAAACTCCTTCTCAATAAATAAATAAAATAAAATAAAATAAAATAAGTTATGTCATTCAGATCACATCTCATTTCCTTCTGAAATTATTCTGTTCTAAAATCTACCCAATCTTGGTTGAGCCCCTCTCAGTGCTCAGGGGTTTATTGCAGGCTGTGCCAGGCTGGGAGCTTCCTAGACAGGACCACCGTGTCACCTCTTCCCCAGATACCTCTGGCCCACTGTCCTGGCTCTCTTAGTCATTTTTCTGGTTGGTCACTGATTAACTCTGGAAAGAGACATACTGAAGAGCAGCTGGGTTCTCTGGGTTATGTAGGAGACACCTCTTATGTCCACAGAATGTTTGGCAAATGCATTCCTGAACTCTTCCTAAGTGTTTATTTCTACCTGCTGTAATGCAGTCCAGGACCAGGAAGTCAGAGATATTCTGGGCAGCAGAAAATGCACTCGGTTTCCCCCTCCCATCTTTCCTGGATTCTCCCGTCAGGGACTATCGCTCTCAGATCTTAGGTTTGTGCCCCAGATTCCTCTGTGTGCAGGAGGTGGCCATCTTCCCTCTTTATTGCCTCACGTTGGTTCCTTCTAGACTTCTTTCTTCTCTTTCCTAAGCCAGTTGTCTGGAGGCTGCATTATGCGCTCTGGTTGCCCCAGTTTCCTCGGCACCTCTCACCTCATGCATTTTTATGTAAGCTGACTCCTGCCCCCCTCTCTTTATTAAAAGGAACTTTAAAATCCAATCTCGGGGCAGGCTACCGTAACTCACACCTGTAATCTCAGCACTTTGGAAGGCCAAGGCAGGCCGATGGCTTGAGCCAAGGAGTTTGAGACCAGCCTGGACAATATGGCAAAACCCTGTCTCTACAAACAATAACAACAACAACAACAAATTAACCGAGTATGCTGGTATGTCCCTATGGTGCCAGCTACTGGAGAGGCTGGGGTGGGAGGATCACTGGAGCCCAGGAGGTAGAGGCTGCAGTGAGCCAAGATTGTACCACTGCACTCCAGCCTAGGCAACAGAGTGAGAACTTGTCTGAAAAAAAAAAAAAGGCAAATCTCGTGGTCAGTTTTCAGCTCTTACTAAGCCTATACTTCTTGGAGTAATTTTCCCCCCCACATTTTAATACCTTTTGCTTTTTATTTTCTTGGATCTTTTTGTCTCTTCTCCCTCCCCCAACCACACTTATTTTGTTTGTCATTGATAAAAACGATCGCTCTGCTAGACTCAGCTCTCACAGCTGTATCTTCCTCATCTAAAATCTTTCTACGGAGAGTGAAGCCACTCTTATGGCTTGACTTAATATTTCTGATACAGCAGAATATAACTCACTGGTAAGCAAACAAATTTTTTCTTTCATGAGAGCAAGTTCAAGCTACATCATCATGTTTATAGGCTACATTAACAATGCAAAAATAGTTTTATTCAGTCCTATGCAACAATATGTATTCTTGTAACATTAACAACTTGTGATATTATAGTTCCTGGCTTAAAAATCCCATATCCTTTGTTAGGGTTTGTTTTGTTTTGTTTTGTTTTTGTTTTTTTTGTTTTTTTAACATTAGGGGGTTTTAGGCCTCAGGAGCAGGCCTTATGAAACAGCATCTCCCTCTCTGACATCCCCCTGTCTTCCCTAAGGCAGGACTATAATCTGATTGTGGCTCAAAAGACCCTCATTTCAGAGAGGGTCCCACCCCATACCCTAGAGGAAGAAATGCTACAAAGAGATGTCAAGACAAACCTTAACAGACAAACTCTACTGGGTTTCCCCACTCAAACTGTTAGTATGGGATCATATCCTTTTTGTCCAATCGCATTTCTACAGGGTTGTCAATCGTGACTATGTAATGAAGCTTCCATAAAAACCCAAAAGGACAGAGTGCAGAGTTTCCTTACAGCTGAACACGTGGAGGTTCCTGGAGGGTGGCATATCCAGGGGTGCGTGGAAGGCTCTCCAGTCTTTCCCCCATACCTCGCTCTATGCACCTCTTCATTTGTATCCTTTGTAATATCCTTTACAATAAGCCACTAAAGGTAAGTGTTTCCGCGAGTTCTGTGAACCACTCTAGCAAATTAATTGAACCCAAAAAAAGGGGTCATGGAAACCCCAACCCAGAGCCATTTGGTCGGAAGATCTGGAGGCCCAGACTTGTTACTGGTGGGAAGGAGGGGGCGGTTTTGTGGGACTGAGCCCTTAGTATGCGGGATCTGATGCTATCTTTGGATAAATAGTGTTTGGATTGAACTGGAAGATAGCCAGCTGATGTCTGCTACAGAGTCAATTACTTGCTTTCTAGTGGGGAGAAATCCCCACCTACTTGGGGGTAGCCAGTCTTTTGTGTTAATTGTGGTGGTGTGAGAGCAGAGGAAAAACGAATAGTTTTTCCTAAATGTCAACAAAAGAATTGACATCGTGTTGTAGACACTAAATATGAAAATATGTGCATATATTTTGAGTGGCAATGCAGAGGCTGACTGCCAATCAGTCTTTTATCGGACACATGTATGTGGACACACTTTTACACGCTGTGCACGTGGCTTTTCAGAGTTCACCGGGTGAAGTGCCAGAGGCCGTGCTCACTCCACTCAGTCCTTGCTCTCCTCTCCTTTTCCCTTGTTTCTTGTTGTCTCTGCGTAAGCTGGGCAGGACTTGCTTCTGAGTTCCTCTGGGGGCCTGCTGCCTGGGTTGGGGTGATCACTGCTCTGCTAGCAAAATCCAGAACACTGTGGGTCTTGCTCTGTTCTGGACAGTGCGATGTCATGTTTTCCTTGCAAAAGGCAATCTGCTCCATCTATGCAAATTTGGTTGAAGGAGTCTGGAGGTACCAGTTAGGGCTTTTGTCTACACTCAAGGTCATTTCCTTGGAGACAATTCTCCCAGTTTCTACTCTGTGTGAGCAGAAGGGCTGCATTTGGGGACCTTGGCAGGCTGTAGCAGCAGGGTTAAGGATCCAGAGAACCACCCTAGGAGTTGTAGTAGAGGCTGTTGGTGCCTCCCAGGTCCATGTCCTGCTGATGATACTTGACTGCAAGAACTGCACTGTTTCTATTTCTATTTATTTTTCTCTCTCTCTTTTTTTTTCTTTGAGACGGAGTCTCACTCTGTCACCAAGCTGGAGTGCAATGGCACGATCTCGGCTTAAGGCAAACTCCACCTCCCGGGTTCAAGCAATTGTCCTGTCTCAGCCTCCTGAGTAGCTGGGATTACAGGCGCCCCCCACCCCACTCCCTCCAAGACCAGCTAATTTTTGTATTTTTAGTAGAGACCGGGTTTCTCCATGTTGGTCAGGCTTGTCTCAAACTCCTGACCTTCGGTGATCCACCCGCCTCAGCCTCCCAAAGTGCTGGGATTATAGGCGTGAGCCACCACACCTGGCCGAACTGCAGTATTTCATCTGAAGATTTGCTCTCAGCTAGTATATGCTAGGTAGGCCAGAAAAGCTAGATTCCTGTGGCAGTGACATGCTGGAGGAGGGACAGGGTTATTGGTCCTATGATTCAGTCTCAGTCTTTTAGTGAGCCTGTACCCCTGGCTTTATGAACTTCACTTGGCTTTTTTCTTCTGCCATTAGTTGGCATAAAAACAAGCTAGAGCTGAGATTTTCCCTTTCCCCGTGTTAAAGATTAGAGTGGCTGGGGTTGGAGTTTTTCCTTCCCCTAGGTAGGTTAGGCTCTGGTAAAATACTTTACCTTGAAGGCAGGCTTTTATTTAGAAGAACAGACCAGAACTCTCAAGGTTGTTCACCCTGAGCCTCCAGCAATTCGTCAATTACAGTTCAAGTGACCCCATGGTACTGGCGCCAGCCATAGAGGACTCTGCTCCCAGTACACTCTTACCCTCTGTGTTTGCCTGTCTCTTCAATTTTGAGGACCGCAGTTTGTCCTGTGATCTCAGTTCTCTGATGCATCTTAGAAAAGTTGTTGATTTTCATTTGTTTAGCTTTTTTCTTGTTATGAGCATGGGAAAAATGACTGTCAAGCTTTTTACGAGTTGGACTAGAAACTCCATGGGAGGTTCAATATTTTTAATCTAAGAAGGGCAAATAAGTAATTTTTTAACTTCTTGGCAACGCATCTCAGTTTTAACTTTTATTTCAGTGCTTCCTTTTATAAATTGTTACATAATAATGACATCTGCTTGTGAAATATGTGGTATTCCCACCCACCTGGGCATGAAAAGGCCCTAAGAGGTCAGCAAGCAGTCAGAGAAGCTGGTGTTTACCGGAGACTCAGGAGGACCAGCCAAACACAACCGCTGGGTTACCTTGGCAATTGCAGAATAAATGCATTATAGTTACTAAAGTAAAAAATTAGATATGCATGTTTGCATATTGAATTATAAAAATACCATTCAAAGACAAACAGATCTAAAAATAAAATGGAAAAACATAAACACTAATTCTGTAAATATTACCCTTAATACACAACTGAAACAAAATTTGCCAACTTAGTATCAAAATCTACGAACAGTTTTTCTATTTGATATAATTTCCCTCTCCTCGCTCTGGATCTCCCTCCCCAGCTCTCAGTATTTTATTTTATTGTTTTTGCTCTCATTCTTCGTACACTTCTGTTGCCTCTGTGATAAGCAGCTTCAAAGTTGGTTCCTCATGTTTTATTGCATAGAATAGAGCAAAAGTGATGAAGTGTTGCTTCCCCGATTACATTACGAAGCATCCGTGGCTTCCTTCTCAAGTGGGTTCACTTGCTCTCTGGGAATCTCTCCTCTAAGGGAATCCAGATACCATACTGCTGGCTGCCCTGTGGTGAGGCTTGCATCACTAGGAACTCATGTCTCTGGGCAGCAGCCAATGAGGACCTGAGCCCTGCTGTCAGCCACATGAGGGAACTTGGAGCTTGGAAGTGAATCCTCCTGGAGTCAAGCCTTGGTGTAACTAGCCTTGGCGGCTGCTTGCCTGCAGCCTTGTGAAAGAGACTTTGGGCCAGAGGCACCAGCTAAACTGCCCCTGGATTCCTGACCCACAGAAAGTGGGAGATAATGTATGTTTGCTTTTTGAAGTTGCTGAATTTGGGGATAATTTGTTATATAGCAATAGAAAATGTGTAACTCGTTTGTATTCCTCTTTGTCCTGGCTTCCCCATTTTGAGGAAACAAAAGCAAATCCAAGTGTAGAGCTGAAATATTCACATGAAAATAATAATAAAAGTTTTAAAATTATTTGAACGTCTATGTGCTGACATTCCAAAATATATGAATTCCAAAAATTTGTAAGTTGAAGTCCTAACTGCCAGTATCTTAGAATGTAATCTTTTTTGGAAACAGGGTCATTTCAGATCTAGTTAATTAAGATGAAGTTATACTGGAGTACAGTGGGCACTAAATCTAATGGGTCCTATGACTCAGTCTCAGTCTTTTAGTGGCCTGTACCCCTGGGTTTATGACCTTCACTTGACTTTTTTCTTCTGCCCTTAGTTGGCATAAAAACAAAGCAGGTGGACCACCTGAGGTCAGGAGTTTGAGACCAGCCTGCCCAACATGGCAAAACCCTATCTCAACTAAAAATACAAAAAATTAGCTGGGCATAGTGGCAGGCACCTGTAATCCCAGCTACTTGGGAGGCTGAGGCAGGAGAATCGCATGAACCCGAGAGGTGGAGGCTGCAGTGAGCTGAGATTGTGCCACTGCACTGCAGCCTGGGTGACAAGAGTGAAACTCTGTCTCAAAACAACAACAACAACAAACAACCAACAACAACAACAACGATAAAAGAAGCTAGAGCTGGGATTTTCCTTTTCCCCATGTTAAAGATGTGAGTGGTGTCCTCATAAAAAGGGAAAATTTGGACACAGACACACACATGGGGAAAATATCATATGAAGAGACACAGGGAGAAGGCAGCCATCTATGGGTCAAGGAGAGAGGCCTGGAACACATCCTTCCCTCACCGCCCTCAGGAGGAACCAACTCTGCTGACACCTTCCTCTGGGACTTCCTCCAGCCTCCAGAACCGCGAAACAGTAAATTTTTTTACATTTTACACCACCCAGTTTATTGTATTTTGTCAGGCAGCCCTAGTGAAATAATGTACACACAGTTCTTGATTTACTCTTCACAAATTACTGCAATAAGGGAGGGTCCTTTGTTAACTAACAATGCTGTGAAATCATAGCGTTTTCTTAATCAACTTCCATAGTTTATTTTTAAGGTACTAACTCTGGACACCACGTGTCTTCTCTCTATAAATACCAGGACATGCTCTGTTTTTCAGCAGTCATTGGACTTCAGCATGACTACTCAGTTGCCGGCTTACGTGGCAATTTTGCTTTTCTATGTCTCAAGAATCAGCTGCCAGGACACTTTCACTGCAGCTGTTTATGAACATGCAGTGATATTGCCCAATGTCACCCTAACACCAGTGTCTCGTGAGGAGGCTTTGGCATTAATGAATCGTAATCTGGACATTTTGGAAGGAGCGATCACATCAGCAGCACAGCAGGTACCATCTCTACCATCTCTCCAGTGTACTGGATTCTATGAGAAAGGAGGGCGGTCCTAGGAGACAGGGCCAGTGTCAGGGTCCTTTATACTTTTAGATGACATATGTATCAGACTAGCCAAGAACCTTTATTTTACAGTTAGAATTCTAGTTTCCTCTCAAAATTAGAGCAAGGACACTACCCTAACAGTAAGAACAATGTTAAGAAAAGAACAATTTGCTCATTATCAAGAAGCAGCAGACCTTTGAGGAACTGGCCATAAATTCAACAACTTTGTTCCCTTTTTCTGGTACAGATGGAGGATGGAGGATAAATGGATCAGGAACCAGCTGCTATTTTTAGAGTATTAGTGGCCTTCATGTACTCATGTGCTATTAAGGGTTTTCAGGTTTTGGAATAAATTTATAATCTGAAAACAAACAAGTTTTCAATTCCTTGCCAGCATGCATTGTATACTTCATACTTCATTCTAATTACAAGATAAAAGTATATGTAATGCATTGTGAGTCCTTTAGTTGAGTGAAGGTTTCAGTTTCAAGTTAATCATACAGTATAAATTGTGGTTTATAGGAATATTATTTTAAAAGCTATTAATCGATTAGGTGTAGACCAGGGATATATGAAGTGTGATAAAAGTCATGGATAAATGTGTATTACATATATCCATAAATATGTATTCTTTTGTGTTGTTGTTGAGACAGGGTTTCACTCTGTCACCCAGGATGGAGTGTAGTGGTGTGATCACGGCTCACTGCAGCCTTGACTTCTCGGGCTCAGGTGATTCTCCCACTATAGCCTCCAGAGTAGCTGGGACCACAGGTGCGTGCCACCGTGCCCAGCTAAGTTTTGTATTTTTTGTAGAGATGGCATTTTGCCATGTTGCCCAGGCTGGACTTGAACTCCTGACCTCAGGTTATCCACCCGCCTCGGGCTCCCATAGTGCTGGGATTACAGGCATGAGCTACTGTGCCTGCCCTATATTCTTATATATACTAATATTTAAAAGGTTATCAGGAGTTCTGATGTTCTTTTTCACCCTTAGTCCAACTATTTCCTTAAAGGTCACATTGCTTTTTAAGGTGACTCTCTAATCAGAAGGTGTCCAGGTTAGCTCAGGCAGTACTTGCAGGCATGGCACAGTTCAAGTAACCAGTTTGTGGCTCCTCTTTTTCTGAGAAGCAGGAATCATGTTTGCAGGGGAAGGCTGGGGCAAAGAGGAAACAAACAGAGCATTTATTAGTCAGTCCTGACACAGGCACAATTATCAGCCAAAGTTCAAGTAGAGGCTTGGTTCCAGGACAAGCTAGGTTTATAGTTAACAACTGCCATAGGAAACAACAATGGCAGGATTAGAAAATTAAAATGCTTGACTAAGTCGGGCGCGACGGCTCATGCCTGTGATTCCAGCACTTTGGGAGGCTAAGGCGGGCGGATCACCTGAGGTCGGGAGTTCAAGACCAGCCTGATCAATATGGAGAAACCCCATCTCTACTAAAAATACAAAAATTAGCCAGGCGTGGTGGCAGGTGCCTGTGATCCTAGCTACTCATGAGGTTGAGGCAGGAGAATCGCTTGAACCCGGGAGGTGGAGGTTGCGGTGAGCCGAGATAGTGCCATTGCACTCCAGCCTGGGCAACAAGAGCAAAACTCCATCTCAAAAAAGAAAAGAGAGAGAGAGAGAGAGAGAGAGAGAAAATGCTCCACTAGAAGCCCAAACCTCACCATTATGTAACATATCCATGTAACAAACCCACATATGTACCCTCTGAATCTAAAATTAGAAATAAAGAAAAGAAAAATGAAAAGAAACAACACTGCACTGAAAAAAAAGGAAATTAAAAACCTTTGGAAAAGAAAATAAATTATAAAAATATAGAAAACAAAATAAGATTTAAGGGGCGTGGGGGGAAGCCCAAATGGTTGTTACTCTGCCACTCAGTTCCTCAGCTCCTTTTGCAAGTCCCCCTTTTGATTAAGGTGCATTTTTAACAGGGTGCGCATATTATTGTGACTCCAGAAGATGGTATTTATGGCTGGAACTTCACCAGGGACTCTCTCTATCCATACTTGGAGGACATCCCAGACCCTGAAGTAAACTGGATCCCCTGTAATAATCCTAACAGGTAAAGAAACAACTTGTGAAAAATTCACTAGTGAATATCACCTTGATTTACTGGGGAAAACTTTGTTGATGATCATTGCATAGATCCACGATCAACTCTTAAGTTTCAGTATAGCTTATTTTTCATCTACTATGGGTGTATTTACTGGGAGAGTAAATATGAATTATGAAGTCACAGAAATCAGAGCTAGAAGGTAGCTTAGAAATCATCACATTTGGGCCGGACGCGGTGGCTCACGCCTGTAAATCCAGCACTTTGGGAGACCGAGGTGGGTAGATCACGAGGTCAGGAGATCGAGACCATCCTGGCTAACATGGTGAAACTCTGTCTCTACTAAAAAAATACAAAAATTATCCGGGTGTGGTGGTGGGTGCCTGTAGTCCCAGCTATTCAGGAGGCTGAGGCAGGAGAATGGCGTGAATCCAGGAGGCGGAGCTTGCAGTGAGCCGAGATCGCGCCACCTCACTGCAGCCTGGGCGACAGAGCGAGACTCAGTCTCAAAAAAAAAAAAAAAAAGAAAGAAAATAAAGAAATCATCACATTCAATGTGAACATCTCTGGTCTCTGACTCCTCACCAGTGAACAGAAAAATATTTCCCTGTGTGGATCTGTGATTTGAAAACTATATGAGTAAATGGCAAAATAGAGTCACATCAGTTTAAGATTAACAGTTTTCCTTTCTCATTGATAAGATAGCTGGTGAGATTAATGTAGTAAAGTCCTTAAAGTGTAAGCTGATTGTAACCTAAGAGGTGATATGTCAGGATTGTAAGTGGTTTAAGTCAGGTCTAGACTAAAGAGATATTAAGTATGATGAAAGCAGCACTATTAATTTTAATGTAAGGAAACCAACATCTTATACACCTAAGAAAATCATGTTGGTTCACATACTTCTTTCTGAATACACAAGGCTAAAATTGTTTTAGGAATTCCTCTTTTGGAACTATTCTCAAAACCACACAATGCCAGTTAGAATGGTGATCATTAAAAAGTCAGGAAACAACAGATGCTGGAGAGGATGTGGAGAAAGAGGAACACTTTTACACTGTTGGTGGGAGTATAAATTGGTTCAACCATTGTGGAAGACAGTGTGGTGATTCCTTAAGGATCTAGAACCACAAATACCATTTGACCCAGCAATCCCATTACTGGGTATATACCAAAGGATCATAAATCATTCTACTATAAAGACATATGCACACGTATGTTTACTGCGGCACTATTCACAATAGCAAAGACTTGGAACCAACCCAAATGCCCATCAATGGTAGACTGGATAAAGAAAACGTGGCACATAACACCATGGAATACTATGCAGCCATATAAAAGAATGAGTTCATGCCCTTTGCAGGGACATGGATAAAGCTGGAAACCATCATTCTCAGCAAACTAACACAGGAACAGAAAACCAAACACTGTATGTTCTCACTCATAGGTGGGAGTTAAACAATGAGAACACATGGACACAGGGAGGGGAACATCACACACCAGGGCCTATCAGGGTGTGGGGGGCTAAGGGAGGGATAACATTAGGAGAAATACCTAATGTAGATGATGGGTTAGTGGGTGCAGCAAACCACCATGGCACATATATACCTATGTAACAAACCTGCATGTTCTGCACATGTATCTCAGAACTTAAAGTGTAATAATAATAATAATAATAATAATAATAGGAAAAAAACACAGAAACTGGCTGGGTGCGATGGCTCACGCCTGTAAGTCCAGTACTTTGGGAGGCCGAGGCAGGAGGATCACCTGAGGTCAGGAGTTTGAGACCAGCCTGGCCAATTTGGCAAAACCCCACCACTACTAAAAATACAAAAATTAGTGGGGTGCAGTGGTGGGCACCTATAATCTCAGCTACTTGGGAGGCTGAGGCAGGGAGAACTGCTTGAACCTGGGAGGCAGAGGTTGCAGTAAGCCAAGATAGTCGCACTGCACTCCAGCCTGGGTGACAGAGCTAGACTCTGTCTCAAAAAACAAACAAACAAACAAACAAACAAACCCACAAAAACTACTTACAGAGACACCTTGATTTTGATAAGATGGATTTTGACAAATTCCAGTGTTATATATCATAATCATGTACTCTATTCTTTTTTTTTTTTTTTTTTTTTTTTTTAGTAGAGACGGGGTTTCACCGTGTTAGCCAGGATGGTCTCGATCTCCTGACCTCGTGATCCTCCCGTCTTGGCCTCCTAAAGTGCTGGGATTACAGGCTTGAGCCACCACACCTGGCATACTCTATTCTTATTTAATTGTATCATAATTATTTATTATTTAATCATGTCATATGTCAGTGCTTTAGTTTCTAGAAGGCAAGCACTCTATTATTACTTCCACTATGAACTGAATTGACTTATTTCCAAATGCCCTTTCCCTACAACCTCATCTCCAAGGGCCTCCTGAACATCCCCACAAGGATGTCCCATTCACTTCATTTCAAGGAACCCAGTCGCCCCTTTATGTTTTCCATCAACTAATGATGTCTGAATTTCTTGCCTCCTTAATTCTCTCACTCTCTCTACTTTTTTTTTTTTTTTCGAGAGAGAGAGACTCTGTGTCACCCAGGCTGGAGTGCAGTGGCATGATCTCAGCTCACTGCAACCTCTATCCCCCAGGTCCAAGCAATTCTCATGCCTCAGCCTCCTGAGGATGACAAGTGTGAGCCACAACGCCCAGCTAGTTTTTCGTATTTTCAGTAGAGACAGGTTTCACCATGTTGGCCAGGCTGGTCTTGAACCCCCGACCTCAAGTGATCCACCTGCTCGACCTCCCAAAGTGCTGGGATTACAGGTATGAGCCATCACACCCAGCTGCCTTAATTTATTAACTCTGCAATTTTTTTTGACTACCTATTATGTCTAGACATTGTTCTTGGCAATGAAGTGAACAAAACAGATTAAAAATTCCTGTCCTCTTGAAATTTATATTCTAGTGTGGGGAGGTAATACATTTTTTTAAAAAGATAATTATCTATCTATCATCTATCTATCTATCTTTATATAGATATCTTTCATCTGTCTACCTATCTACGATATGAGGTGGAAGTAAATGTTATGGAAAAAATAAAGTGGGGAAGGTGAATAGGGTGGCAAGCATGGGGCTGAAATTTTTAAAAGGTCATCAGAAGGCATCGCAGTGAGATTTCAGTGAAGACCTGAAAGAAATGAGGCGACAGATCATATGACTACTCGAGAAAAGTGCATTCCAGGCTGAGGGAATTCTAAATTCCAGGATCCTGTGGTGAGAGTATGTGTCTAACCTATGGAACAGAAAAAGGGTTAGTGTGGTTACAGTGATGTGACAGAAGAGGAGAAAAGCAGGAAATAGAGGCAGAAGGGCAGGAGGATTGCAATGTAGAGAATAGATTCCAGGGTATAGGTCACCAAAGAAGCAGAGGACAGTTAAAAAGCTGTTGTGATAATTTTGGCAGAGAGATGATGGTGTCTGAGATCAAGAGATGGTAGACGTTTAGGTATTGAGAAGTGGACAGATTCCGAATAAAGTCTGAAAGTAGCACTGGCAGGTTTTGCTGAAAGACTGGATGTAGGATGTGAGAGAAAGGGAGGACTCAATATCCTTCCCTGCTCTCATAGAATCAGATCTCATCCTATTGAGTATGTTTGAAGTATGCACAGAGTCGATTGCTTCCTCTTCTCATAGACACCAAACTTTTGGGACCACATCACCTCTTAGACTGAGTGTTAAAGGAACAGGCTGTCATCACTCTGCTTTTTTATTTAATTAATTTATTTAGCATTTATATGTCATATCATTCCAGAAGGATTTGAAGTTTCTAATTATATCTAATATAATGAAAAATAGGATAGTTTAGTCTTAACAACAAACTAGAAACCATGTGAATAGAGGAAGCAGTTGTTATGAGGCATCATGGTTAAGAGCTGCTCATTACAATTGGACATTAAGTATCGTTCTAAGAGTTTCTGAGCAGTTAAGAGAAGTACAATTTTGTTCAGACATTTTCATTGCATCATAGAAGAAAGTTTGCATATTTCTTCAGTGACAAACTATGTCTAATAACCTAACTTAAAGATGAATTTACTTATTCAACTTTTTTTTTGTTAATTATTTTATTCTTAACTTTCATGGGTACATAGTAGATGTATATATTTACAGGGTACACGAGATGTTTTGATGTTTGTACACAGGCATGCAATGGTAATAATCACATCATGAAGAATGGGGTTTCCATCCCCTCCAGCATTTATCCTTTGTATTACTAACCATTCAATTATACTCTTCTAGGTCTTTTAAAATGTACAATTATTATTGATTATAGTCACCCTGTTGTGCTATCAAATACTAGACCTTATTCATTCATTTTAACTATTTTTTTTTGTACCCATTAATCTCACTTTCTCCCCCACCCCTCCCCTAACTACCCTTCCCAGCCTCTGGTAACCATCTTTCTATTCTCTATCTCCATGGGTTCAATTGTTTGATTTTTAGATCCCACAAATAAGTGAGAACATGTGATGTTTGTCTTTCTGTGCCTAACTTATGTTATTTCACATAACCTAATTATCTCCAGTTCCATTCATATTGTTGCAAATAACTGAATCTCATTCTTTTTGTGGCTGCATAGTACTTTATTCTGTGCATGTACCACATGGTTGTTTCCAAATTTTGGCTATGTGAACAGAGTTGCAACGAACATGAAAGTGTAGATATCTTTTCTATATACTGATTTCTTTTTTGAGGGGCATATACCCAGCAGTGGGATTGCTGGATCCTATGGTAGCTCCATTTTTAGTGTTTTGAGAAACCTCCAAACTGTTCTCCACAGTGACCGTACTAATTTACATTCCCACTAACAGTATACGAAGATTCCCTTTTCTCCACATCCTCACCAGCAATTTTAACCGGTGCGAGATGATATAATTGTAGTTTTGATTTGCTTTTTTACTTTCTTATTTATTTATTTATTTTTTTTTGAGACAGAGCCTCACTCTTGCCACCCATGCTGGAGTGCA